GGATCGAGTCCCGCATCGGGCTCCCTGCTCGGCAGGGAGTCTGCTTCTCCCTCTGACCCTCCCCCCTCTCATGTGCTCTGTCTCAAATAAATAAATAAAATCTTTAAAAAAAAAAAAAAGAGGCAAATGGAGATTTTCTTACAAGGATCGGCAACCCTGGACGCTCCAGCCCCGCAGCCTGCAGTGCAGAAAGAGTGAGGCCTCTGGTTTTCCACAGACCGACAGGTCAAACACTGATGTCTCGTGGTCCACACCCACATTTGCCGGAGTCCCTGACCCCTCCCCCCCAGAGAAAGAAAAATGGGGGACACAGTCCTTACCTGTGCTATGTTCCCCTTCCTCTGCTGACTGCTTGATCCAGTCTCCGGCTTTGTCGACGTGAAATAACTTCAGGTCCTCTTCATCTAAGGCAATGTCTCCCCAAAAGACAGCTGCAGAGAAAAAAAACATAAATGGATCCATTTAGGCTGGAGATCAGGGAAAAAGATGGATTTATTAACGCCCCGGAGGACATTAGATGTTGGGTAGCAAACTCTAGAAATGACAATCCATCCAATCAAATCTCTCCCTGAACCTAACACATCAGGCTGGTAGAGACAGAAGAATGGCGTATAATAGTTCTGTGTACCAGAGCCACAGGGCTGGAGCCAACCACCATGATGATCAAGGCCTAGGTCTGTAAGGTGTTTTGAAAGGGCACCCTGTCTTACTCGAGCTGTAAGCAGCTCTGGGCAAAACCACCACATAGAGATAGCTGTTTCTTTCTTCTCCAGAGTCCCCAGGATATAAAAGAAAAGCATAATGTGATAAATGATACTACTGTTCACAATATTTGCTGCCCTTCCCTGGGGGAAGATTATATTTCTTTGCCCCATTAATGTCAGAATTGGCCACTTCACCTGCTCTGATAAATAAATGTGAGAGAAAGCTTTAAGAGTTAGTGCACGATTCACACGTCCTCTTTTCCCTTTCCCAAAAGACAAGCAATGTTCTAGATAGGGGCGACTCTCTCACTCTGAGTTCTAGGGTAAATAGGATGGGGAGCAAAGGTATGGCTGGCCAGGATGGATATGTAGCATGAATGAGGAGAATAAAACCTGCTAGTTTTACAAGTCTCTGAGATTTGGGGCTATTTGTTACTAGAACACAGACAAATGTGTTTATCCTGACAAATACGGAAATTGCTATCAGAAGTAGTATGCTGCTATAACAAAAATCCATTGTGTTTGGGCAAGGCAGTGAGTGTCAAGGAAACTGTTACTGAAGCCTGGAAGGAGGTGAACTATGTTATGCAGTGATGGGGTACCTGGTAAAAATATTGGCCTGTATTCACTTGGAAAGCAGATGATAAACCGAATGAGCTATGGCTTTAAGTGAAGAGATTGAGAGTCAGAATGTTAATAGCACGCCTTAGTTGCTATTAGCTGTGTTTGATAAGGTACTACAAGAAAGAAAAGGGTTTCATGGAGAATTGGGCAATTTATAGTGGGAATGACAAGGCGTGGAGAGAGTCCAGAAATTCAAGAAGAGCTAACCTATTCTCATCACTAAGCAATAAAAGAAAAACTGAGAGGGCCTTTGAGTAACAGAGGCTAATTAAAACTTAGCTTTGTGGTGAAGAGAAATGGGAACTCTCACCCATTGCTAGTTGGAAGATAAGATGGTATACTACCTATGGAAAATCATTTGGCAGTTTCCTAAAAAGTTGAACATGATCTTAAAAACATAATCTTAAAATCTCAAAGTTTCCTAAAAAGTTAAATATAATCATATGATCCAGCAATTCCACTCCTAGGAAATCTTCCCAAGAGAAATGAAAAGATATGTTCACACAAAGACATAAATTCAAATGTTTATAGCAACCTTATTCATAATAGCCCCAAACTTGAAAACAACACAAATGTCTATCAGCTGTTGAACACATAAACAAAATGTGGTATATCTATAAAATAGTCAACTATTTAGCAATTAAAAAGAACAAACTATTGGCACATGTATGACACATATATGTATTGACTACAACATGTATGAGTCTCAAAAACATCATGCTAAGTGAAAGAGGCTAGATGCGATAGACTACATATTACATGATTCCATTTATATTAAATGTCTAGAAAAGGCTAATTTATAGAGCTAGAAAGATTAGTGATTGCTAGGGTTGGGGGCAGGACTGAGATTTGGCTATCAATGAGCACAAGGGAGCTCTTCCCGGTGGTGGAAATGTTCTATAATTTAATTGTGGTGATGGTTGCACAACTATGAATTTACTAAAATCACTGAATTGTACACTTACAATGGTGAATTATACAGTATGTAAATTATACAAGAAATCTGCGCGAGAAAAAATAAACCACTCAACCTTATTGCAAGGACCAGTCAAGATGGTGCCCAATACATGCTTTCAGTGGGAGAAGAATGGGGAGGGACAGGAGACCAAAAGCAAGGTTCCCTCAGAGAGGCCTAGCAAATGCCAGGTGCCAGCAACTAAGTCCAGAGAGAGAGGCATGTCTAGAAAACAACCGAGGTGTGGCCCCCCCACCTGCAGCTGAATCAAACAGGAAGACGACTAACATTTCAGAAAAGCATGTGTCAGAAGAGCCACTAGAACGGCCTGCAGGAGACTGCAACTCTTTGAGACTTAAAATGACCCCAAATGATCCTTGGGCCCCCAACCTCCTATGGGGAAGGAAGTGGGCTGAAAAAGATGTCCTCTTCAGATACAGCCAATGAGAATAACGGAAAAGAAAAGACAGGACCCCCCCACAATGGCACCATGGAGGGCCATGTTGGAAAGATGATCGGAGAACTACTCACAGGAGGTGGAATCAGAGCCCTCCCCTGGAGAGCACACATGGGGAAGACACCTCGTGGCCTGCCACTGCATCCTAGTCCATCTCTGGAGCCAGAGAAGAGCAGAGCTCTAAGATGTAAGTTTCAAAAACAAGAATAGTTCAGGGAACAGCAAAGAGTGCCGGGATTAGTTAGTGATGTCTGCCGTGGGCAAGTGTGGGAGTGGCAACCCTCCAGGGTGTGTTCGAGGTCCCTGCTTTCATCTTTAGGAAGAGAATCGGGGTGATACTGCTGTAGAAAAGAAATCAGAGGTCTGATATAAAAGCAACTGCTCTCCTTAGAAATCGAAAAGAACAAATTGAAAAGTGTTCCCAAATAAAATAAGATACTGTCACAACACATAAGAAAAAATAATGGATCAACGATTAGCACTACACCACTGTGCAATAGTATTTTCTGCAATGGTGGTAGCCATTTCTGCAACATGGTAGCCAATAACTACATGTGGTTACTGGGCACTCGAAATGTGGCTGGTGTAATTGAGGAACTGAATTTTACGTTTTATTTTATTGTAATTAAAATTTAAATTGCTACATGTGGCTAATGGCTATATTATGAATACAATATAAACAATATAAACTAAAATTGTATATGGTATACATAACATAATATAATATAAAATAAAATAATAAATTATATTTAAAATAGCAGCAAAAAGCAACACATATCTAGGAATAACCTTGATACAAAAAGTGTGATACTATGTCAAGAACGTAAAATTCTACTAAAAGCTATAAAAAGTGACTGACATGAAAAGAAAAACATACTATGTTCCTGAAACGTTCATTCTTTTCAAATTAATGTGTAGGTTTAATATACTTCAATCAAAATCCCAATAATGCTTTTATTATTGACAAAATGATATTAAAGTTCATCTGCATGATTAAGTGATAACACTCAAGAAAGAGT